GAGGGAGGAAGGAGTGACAGAGGAGGGAGTGACAGAGGAGGGAGTGATGGAGGAGGGAGTGAGGGAGGAAGGAGTGACAGAGGAGGGAGGGACTAGCTGGGTTGACAGTTTGAAGAGGCAGAGGGCTGAGGAGGAGCATTTGGATTTTGGGGACTGACTTTATCCCTTGCAACTGGGAAAGCAGGCTGGACCCTAATCCTCGGACAGAGAAGCCAGTGAATCCAGTTTCGTATTTTATTCTGAGAGAGGAGTTCCATGGGAGCCCTTGGCTGGCCTCATCCCACAGCTCTGTGCAGAAGCCCAGCCACAGAGCCTTCAGCTCTTCCTTGTCATGTCAGCAGCACTTGGGTCTGGGCCAGGCTCCTGGACCACAGCTGCCTCACCCATCCCAAGGGCTCAGAACTCGCAGATCACAAGGCGCTTCTCTTCACAGGGCAGGTCGTTCCACTTGCCAGTGGTGTAGATCTCCACACAGTCCTCATTGCCGCCCTTGTTGTTAGGTGCCGGAGTCCATTCATTGTCTTTACTAGCTGGGTTTGGACAGAGACCCCTCAAAAAAGGCTGGTAACCTTTGAAGTTCTAGTAAAGGTCAGAACTGTGAACTACCCAGTTAATTTAAGTAATAATGGTTGAAGCATCTCCACCTTAGTTCACTTAATTCCTTAGGTACTTATGTAGATCTTTGTTGATTATTGTTGATCAGATACTCCTGGAGATCTGTTGATGAGTTAATCAGGTATTCTGCCTATTCCTGAAAATTGTCTGCTGATGTGTGTCATTAAAACCTCCTTACCCTAAGGGCTACTCCAGCCCACTCCCAGGTCGTGGAAGGAATCACTCAGCAGTTAGGCTCCCCAGGGTTCCAGTTGGAATAGACCAGGGGCTGCCCTCCTGGGTAGGTGAACCTGCCCTCCCTCTGAGAGTCAGTCATGCTCAGGTACACACGATCCTTGTTTTCAGCCTTGACCAGCTGTTGCAAGGCGTGGTTCTCAGCTGCAGAGCGTG